GGGCTGCAGAGCTGTGCCCTCCACAACTAGATGGAAGACAGCTACTTGACTTGGAGCTGATGGGTCCTGGAAAGACACACTGTTCCCCAATAAAAATTGAAAAAAAAATTATATCCCTCTCATCACTCCCTACACCCTACACCTATACATATATATATATATATATATATATATATATATATATATATATGGATTTAATTTAAAAACAGATGAACATAGGGTATAAAGAAAGTAAAAAGAAACAGGAAGCTGGGGGAAAGATGACAGATAAAGGGTCAATACCCTTACTGCAGAAGGAGTGTTTGCAGATCGACGAGGGAGCAACAAACAGCCCAAAAGAAGGGCGAGCAAAAGAAATAACCGAGTAACTGACAAAAGAAGGAACCGCTGGTGGCCAGTAAACAGGAAGAGGTTCTCGGGCTCACTAAGAACCAGACGTATGCAAGCTCAAACGGCATCGTTATACACATCTGTAAATGGCACAGACTTGAAAATGCGGCCACTCTGACATCTGGCCTCATGCTGGACAACGGCCTGTGTTGCCAGCCCCACTTCACCGGTGCAAAAACTGAGGACCGGAGAGGACATTGCGCTCAGCGGGGGTCACACCGGGAGAGGAGATGCTAAAGCAGGACCCAAATTCAGCCTCTGCAGCCCTACCCACTCCCCCCGTTCCCTGACAGCCAATGGAATCAGGGTTGGGCAGTCTCGGAGACCATGGCCTGAAACTTGGAGTTGGGACACTCCAACACCCTGGCCGGTGGGGAATTTTGAATCAGAGTCCTAAGGTGTGACCTTGAACAAGTGCCCGCCTTTGGGAGCCTAAGTTGACTGATGAAAAATAGGGGATAATAGGACTTGCCACCTTGGGTTTCTGTGGGGATTAAGAAAGACGATGCACGATGCATGTAAAAGCCGTGAATTGGAGCTTGGAACATAGTGAGTGCTCAGAACATGGGAGCAGGCCTGAAGCTCTCCCCCCTCACCCCTCCACCACGTGGGCTGGAAACTCTGAGTCTGCTCCGCAGCTGTGTTCCAAAGTGCTGGACGCTGCCCTCTCAGGAGACAGGGCGGATTTTCCCCACCCCTGCGTGTCCCTCAGGCCCAGGCTGCCAGCTGGCTCCCCGCCCCATCACAGGGGCGAGTAGAAAAAATACCCTGGCCAGGGAGACACTCTGGCCCCACTGGCTGTGTGACCTGGGGCAAGTCCATGCCCCTCTCTGGGCCTCCATGCTGTTGCCCACCCAAGACTGAGATGAGGATGGGATGTGAGAACGGAGTCAGAGCTCTCTGAAGCGTCCGCTCCTCCCTTCCATGTTGACCATAGGCAGAGATTTTAAATGCGTCGGCACGCCATCAGCCCTGCTGAGCTGGCACGCGTGAGTGGTGGTCCTTTTAGCTCCTGTTTGACAGATGGGGAAACTGAGGCTAGGGAGGTGACGCTGTATGCCCAAGGTCACCCAGCCCGGGAAAGGACAGGGGCAGAACTGGACTCTGGGTCTGTTTGAGTCCTGCGAGGGGGAGAGGGAGAGGGTGGAGAGAAGGGAGCAGGGGAAGGGAGAGAGAGCTGCTGAAAGGAAGGGAAGGCCGGGGAGAAGGAGCAAGAAGACTAAGACAGACAGACACAGACAGACACAGAGAGACACGGACAGACTTCAATTTAGGCTGAGACTCAGCGATGAAAGGAGAGTTACAGAGACTCTGTTTTCGGCTGAATTGTGTCCCCAGACCTCATCTTGTTGAAGTGCTAACGCTCAGTCCCTGGACACTTTGGAGACAGGGTCTTTGCAGAGGTGATTCAAACGAGGTCACTAGGGTGGGCCCTAGCCAATGTGACCGGCGTCCTTATAAAGAGGGAGTTTGGACACCACCAATACGGAGACAGAGAAACTGTGGGAAGGGCCATGGGGGCTCTGGCTGTGTTGGGAACCTGAGCAGAGGTAGGGGGGCCTGGCCTCCTGGCTTCCCAAGAGAGCCCCATCCCTTTTCTCTCATTGGCTGCACCTGGGCCTCCGTTGCCTTGACAACGGGAAGCTTCAGCCTGGAGGAACCAAGATCTGCCACCCCCGTCCTGCTTTCCTCTCACTCCCCTCACTCAGCAGCAAATTCCAAGGGTCCTGCGTCCACCCCACCCCCACTCTGAGTCAGGGGTATTTTTCGCTGGGGTTCCTTGGAGATGAGGGTCGGGGGCCTCAACGCAGGCTTGTCTGGCTGGGGAGGGTCATTAGAGGGGCAGAGGTAAGACGGTGGGGTCTGCGTGGCTGGGGCGGGATGAGGGAGCCCCTGTCAGCCACCAACCCCCTTTTTCAGGCCAATGTCTGGTCTCAGAGAGGGCGGGTACATGGCAGGTCTGAAGAGGACATGTTTAATGATCAGTACCCCCATGGAGAAATCTTTCTTCTCCCCATAGCCCTCTTGAGCTCAAGCGCAATCCATAGCTCTCACTGCTGGCGGCACCAAGCCCAGGCTCCCCGAAGGCCCCCAATTTGGCTGTGTAGCTTCACTTGGGAAAAATCTCAGCCCCTACTGTTCCAGCAGGGTAGCTCTAGCCTCGTGTGGTCTCCAGCATCTGCTGGATTCATTCCCACCTCCACCCCTTTGCACTGGCAGTGCCCCTGCCTGGGGCGCCCTACCCCTTCTCGCTGACACCTCACACGCCAGCCCTCCTCACACCTCTAGCCTTCCCCTGAAGTTAAGCTGTGCATGCTGTTCCCTGGGCATGGACCAATCCTTTCTCCAGATCTGGCTACCTCCTCAGAGGGGTCTGCCCTGACTACCCCATGCCCTCTCGGCCACACTGCCCAATCCCACTACCTCCCCAGCACTCCCCTCGCTTGCCAGTAATTGGGTTCATTTACTCATTTACTTGCTCTGTTTGTCTCCCTGTCAGACCCTTTTATCTTGTTTGCTCTGTGAGCACACACCTACAGTACATCTTTACAGAATTAATACCGAGTAGTAAAAGCTGAGTAATTCCCAGCCTGCTCCATAACAGTGGCTTTCACAAATTCCATCAGTGACTAAGAAACTCATTTCACCTGGCAACCCATTAAACACATGCAGAAATGATGCAAAAGGTTCACGGACCAATTCGTACCATTACTACGCATGATATAGACCCATATTTTCTACTCTGTTCCATTCCATTCAATTCCGAGAAAATTCTGGTGACAACTTTCTGATTTCACAATCCACTAGTCGGTTATAATCAATACGGCCCCAGAGAAAAGTTCCTTAAATTCTTGCTGCGGAAGTCCCTGGAACCTGCCTGGTTCTGCCCCATCCCGCACCCACTCCAGCTTGCTGTCCCACCCTTCTTATTATTCTGGGCCCCAGCCCTCCCTTTTCATAAGGGACCCGGAGCCAGGGTACTATCGACAAAGAGTCATAATGAACACCGCAGCCCCTGTGATTCCCAGACAGGTGAGCCCCTCCTGCAGTGCTTCCCTGAGAGGCCCTCCCTGACCTCCTCAGGTCTCCTCTCTGTTGGCACGATGGCACTGAGAGGAATGACCTGGAGGGGAAGGGGAAGGGGAAGGGTGAGGCAGGCAGGTGGCAGCTGCTGCAGTCCTTCCCATGGAAAGTTACAGTAACAACCCCCCCCCCCCCCCCCGCCAATACCAACCTTCCTCCTGGATAACAAAAATAGTCCTAACTGTCACTGCTGAACTATTGGGCCATGTAGACGCTGCGTTCAGGCACACAGCATCTCCACATAAATGGGGAGTCCCTGCTCCCATTTCACGGATGACGAAACTGGTCGTCATCAAATAGGTCAGCCTAGTTCTGGTCCCTTCCCTTCCCCAGGCCTCGGTTTCCCTTGATGAAAGAGAGGGGGGGCCTGGATGAGGTGACCTCAAAGGTTATATCCAGATCTGACCTTTGCTGGTCTCAGGTCATCACGGCCAATCCCCTGAGCCGTGCCACTGTGATACAAGCAGAGCTGGCTCTCGGTACCTGCCCCACCTCTGGGGGCATCATCACCCACACCTCACCTGGGCTTTTCCCTTCTGGTCTGTCCCGAGGTCAAGGTCTTTGTTCCTCCCTCTCATTCCCACTCCCTCAGGGCCTGGTACTCTGCTGAGACGGACCAAGCCTGGGCTCTGGGGCAGGCAGCGGACAGGGTCACGGGGTTCCTATCTTGGGGCCTTAATCCAGGGATTTCCAAACTTGGATAACCTGAGTTCCCATCCTCAATGAGATCCCACTGGGAAATCCTGCCAATTCATAAAAGAGATTCCAAAAAGAAGCTGCTCTGGTTAAAACAAGAGGAGAGAGGTCTGCTGTCATGGGCCTAATTTCTCCTTATCCCCCACCCCACTATCCCAGGTCACCCCAGGGGTCCCCGGAACCCAGTTTGAAAACCCTAGTATTAGCCCAAAGTAGTGGTGATAATTCAGGTGCGGCCTGTATGGGAAATGTTTTGGACAAGAGGCTAGTGTTTGTTTGAGCCTCCACATGAGATGCGCATGGGCTGGGGCAGGGGTGGACACCCTCTTAAAAACTCCAAGACAACACAGTGCGGACTCTAGAATCCTACAGGTCTGAGTTCCAATCCCTGCTCTCTATTTGGGGAACTCTCAGAAGGTACCACACCTCTCGCTGCCTCGGCCTTCGCATCTGTAATCTGAGCATGATAGAATCATTTGGGGTGATAAATGATGCAGATAAAAGTTTAGCAAATAAGAGACACAGAACACACCCCCTTATTGTTGTTGCTCCGATCCCTCCCACTACTTGTGAACGTATGATCTTGGGAAGCTATTAACCCTCCCTGAGCAGTTTCCTCATCTGTAAATCGGGGGTGCTGGTACATACCTCACAGGGTCCTCATGCATGGGTATAAATGAGTGGGAACACGTTACGGTGCTGAGTTAATGCTTGGCACAAAATGCATACTTAGTGGATTCTAGATATGGCTTATGATTATTATAATGATGGTAATTCTTTGCTCCTAGACCTGCTGGGCAGCCACCCCTGCGCCCGGGACCCCGTCTTACCCGGGCGGGATGGAGGTGCGTGTGCTCACGCTGGTGGCGCGCTGGGGCCCGGGCCGGTTGAGGTTGTTCTGGCCCGGGGTGGGCGCACCGCTGGGGGTACTCGGGCTCCGCGGGGGCGCCCCGGAGGACTGCGGGGGCTCGGTGGGGCTGGTGGCGGGTGTGGCCCAGAGCGCGGCGCCGGCGAAGGTGGCGCTGGGGCGCACGGCGAGTGAGCCCGGTGGCCCTCCAGGGGGCGGCGGGGCTGCTGGGGGCGCCTTGCGACGCTGCGAGGCCAGGATGGCGTTGGAGGCGGCGCGCGTGCTGTTGACCAGCAGGCACTGCTGGCAGGAGCAGGGCTGGCCCGAGCTGGCCCCCACGGGCCACGACTGCGACTTGGGGATGGAGCCGACGGTGAGCGGGTAGGCGAGGTCCAGGCGGCGGCGCAGGCGGCGGCGGCGGCGCGTCTGGCGGTTCATCTGCGACATGCTGTTGAAGTAGATGAGGTAGCAGAAGCCGAGCGACGAGAGGTCGAGCCACGGGTGCTGCTTCTCGTAGGCATTCTGGATGGTGATGCAGATGTCCATATCGTAGGCCGTCCAGGCGCCGCCGTCGTTCTCCCACTCCCACACGATGCCCTTGCCCGGCGCCGACGACGGGTCGTAGAAGTTGCGCCGCACGGGCCGCATGGTGCCTGTGCTCACAAGGGGGGTGGGGTTGGTCAGGACAGGCCGAGGGGCAGGGACAACACAAGGGGTCTGCGCAAGCAAGCCGGAGGGGTCAGGACAGAGGGAGGCGGGGGTGACAGCAGCGCAGGCGCTGGGTGGAGGGCCAACGAAGGCGGAGTCAAGACAGCATGCGATGCGCACGAAGCCATGGCGCATGGCGGGGCGCAGGACAGGCAAGCTCCCCTCACCTCTCAGGGCCAACACAGGCGCTGGGGGGCAGGTGGGCGGAGGGGGGAGTGGGGGCTCTTCAGACAAGGTGGGGGAAGCACAGTCAGCACTTGGGGTGGAGACAGATATCCACAGAGGCCAGGATCATGCAGACCCGTGGGTGGCATGCAGACCTTTCCTTCATTAGTTCACTCATTCATGCCGTAATTCTTTCATGAACTCGTTCATTGATTCGCGCCTTAGCGCGCACATTCATATATTCCTCAGTTCATTCGTTCAATACTTCTCTCTCGTTAGTCCATTCGCCCATGCTTGCAGTCAAGTCATCCACCCCTCATTCATACCCGCACTTGTTCTCGCTCCTCAGCTCACTCCTTTACCCATGCATGCAGTCACTCCTTCATTTGACGACCATCCTATTAAAATGTGCACCCCGTCCATGCACTTTTATTCCCCCTCTCTCCTTCCTTGCCTGTTTTCTCCATCTGGTATAATTTCTACTGTACCCCTTTATCTTGTTTTCTGTCTCTCGCTTTCACTAAGAATGTCACCACCACAAGGCAAGGGCTTTGTTTTATTCACTGCTACATCCTCAGCACCTGCACACAGTAGGTACTCAGTAGATATTTGTTGACCATATGAAGGAATTCATTAGTTCAAACCTTGATCCATTTTGGACTCAGTTATCCTTTTATTCCTTCATGCCTTTTGCTTATCCCCACACTGGTTCCATTCCTTCATTCACTTATTTGCTTTTTTATTCATCTGCTCATTTATTTGTTCCCTCTTGGAGCACGCATCGGCTGACTGTCTGCTCTTTAGAGGGCTCCATGCCGAGTGCTCATTTGAAAACATAATAAGTAGGTATTCGTGTCCCCATTTTAAAAATGAGGGCACTGAGGCCTTGCTCCCAACCACAGCTCCATGATTCCCAAAGCTCTAGGTGCTCCCTGAGAGCACTTTTCCATGGACACCCTGGGTTAAACAGAGGTAACCTAACGATGGGGCTGCAGGACTTCTCAGAGCCTTTAGCCTGCTCTGTGCCTGGGGCCAGCGTGAAGATTCTTTGGCTTGGGTTCATTTGGCACACCTGCAGGGAGGCTGCACCCTTGACTGCTCCTCAGCTGTGGGCAAGTCCCTTAAGTCCCCCTAGGTCTCAGTAGCCCATCTCGAAAAGAAAGGCGATGCCAATCCAGGACCCACCCTGCCCCCCTCTCACACAGGGCTGTGTGTGGGGGGATTTGGTGAAAAGAGCCACAGAGCGTAGGTCTAGGTGGGGCCCCAGGGCTGGGAGGCAGACAGGCCTCATTTCAAGTCCTAACTGCTGACTTTCCAGCTCTGTGACTGTGGTCAGGCGACTCAATGGCTCCGAGCCTCAGTTTTCTCATCTCTGAAATGGGCACAAACAGACTTTCCTTACGGGGTTGTTAAAAGGATCACTCAAGAGAAATACTGTCCTGTCTCTGATGATTTCAAAATCTTGTCATTTCTAGCTCCATCCTCTTCCCTGAGAACCAGACTTGTGTGTCCAGTTGCCTCCTTGGCACCTTTCTGTGGAGGTTCAACAGGCACCTCAAACTCAGCTCTGCTTTGGCTGTCCCACCCCCCAACCTGTTCCTCCTGCATAAGTCTTCCTTATTGCAGCTACTGGCAGGTCTGTCCTTCCAGCTGCTTGGGCCCCCCAAGCCCCCCAAAACTTGAACTTCACTTCTCACCCCATACCCCATGTCTAGTCTGTCAGTAAATCCAGTCACCTACCTTCAAATACATCCCACATCTGGCCCCTTCTCCCGCCCCCCACTGCACTGATTCTGTCTGGTCCAAGTCACTCTATGTCTCCGGCCTGGACTATTGCAGTAGACTCATGGCTGGTCTCTGCTCTTCCTTGACCTCCGTAGTCTGTTCCCCCACACTGCAGCCAGAGGGATCTTGTTCAGTGCAGTTCAGGTCACATCCTTCTTCTGCCCCCAATCCTCCCATGGCTCCTGCTCACTTGGAGTAAAAGCCAACGTCCTGGCCATGACCTACAGAGCATCTACAAAGTGCTGTCAGCCCCACAAGGACAGGAATCTTGACTGCTTTGCTCACAGCTGTTTCTGCAGCGCCTAGCACGGTGCCTGGCACACAGCAGGCCCTCACTACGTGGAACTCCCCCAGATGCCTGGCCCAGGAATCTGCAGCCAGATGGATGGGGACCCACCATGGTCCATCCCTTTTCCCCCACCCCCACCTTGCTCAGCCTTCTTTCTGCTGAGCACACACTCTGACTGTCCTTACTTGGGTCCCTACCCAGGGCTGAAACAGCTTGTCCTCTGCTCTCTCTCTCTCTCTCTCTCTCTCTCTCTCTCTCTCTCTGTTTGAAAGAATCCCAAAGGCTATGGACTTTCCCTGTTCTGTGTCAACTGTCCAGGCCCCGAGAGCTGGGGGAATCAAGGCACAGAGCTGCAGCTGTTGATACGAAAGCGGCAGGGTGGGGTGGGTCCCTGGGCGCCTGTAATGTTCCAGCCAATCATGTGAAAAGTTCCCCCAGGCCTCTGGGGCAGCTTCATTCTGATGTCTGATTTATCATTTTAATTGAGTGCGTGCATATTGATTTTTTTTCCCTTGACAACAGTCCTTTTCCAGGGCAGGCCTGAGAGGGGATTGGTTAGAGGGAAAATCCTGGGTCCTGCTCTAGCTCTGCCTCTAAGTGCCTCTTTTCCCCTCTCAGGGCCTCAGTTTCCCCATTTACAAAACGATAGATAATCTTTAGGCCTGATGTGCCTGAAATATTGCCATGAACCTCCTGCTGAGGGTGAAAGCTGTGTGTTACCTGGAAGGTGTGACCCCCTGGATGGAAAGGAAACCTGCTTTATTTAACTACCCCTATGTGCCAAGTCCTGAGCTGATCAGGGCAGGGTTTGGGGTGGGAGGTACAAAGTGAAGTGGTTGAAACAACTCAGAAGTCTCAGAGGCCATGTGCAAATCCTCGCTCCACATGTAGCCTCATTGTCCTCATCTGTAAAATGGGACTAGTAAAACCTACGCCAAAGAATTACTGTGGGACAAAGTAAGATAATGTATGTCATAGGTGCTCCGCAGAGAGCTTGGCTATAGTAAGTGCTCGATGAATGCTAGCGAAGACTGCTGTTATTATCACATACATTACCCACATTCACCCTTTCCCAGCCCTGTTCACTTTGAGAACTCCTGTTCATCCAACAAAACCCTCCACGTGCACACCTTCTCCATGACGTACGTTTCTGTTCTGCTGCTATAGGTGGCATACGCAGCTTTGTACTGCATGTCTATCCTTGCTCTGTCATTCAATGACTCGTTTTTTGTTCTCGATCTCCCTCACTGGGCTGATGACTGTCAGAAGGACAGGGACCAGGTTGATCCACGTCTGTGTTCCCAGCACCAGTAACAAGGCCTGGCGCACAGGAGGCACCTGCAACTGAAACGAGCAACCTACTTGGCACAGGCCAGGGCTCAGAGGCAGTGGGAAAGAGAGGGAGTGGAGATTGGAGCAGGAGCCAAAGCACGCATGAGGCCCCCGGGGGTGGGGGTGGGGGCGGGGACAGGGTTCCGAGCGGCCGTGTTGGCCAGCTCTGCAACAAAGGACTCTGGGAGTTCCTCTGGGCCAGGTTAGGGCCAGCCGGCCCAGGCGTCCCTCTCTCCAGAGCTCGATTTACCAGGTATCGATTTTCCTGCCTGTTTACTGGTAGTTATTAAAGGCTGCGTCCCTGGAGTCCTTTTCAAATGAGATTGGAACCTGGAGAGCTGGAGTAATTAGGGCAGCTGCTGTCCTCCCTGCTGGGTTCCGTACCTCACAGCACCCACTGCTGCCCACTGCTGCCCGCCTGCCCACCCATTCCACCTCTCCAGCGCACACTGGCCCTGGACCAGGCCAAGGAGGCCAGCTGGTTCCTTGGTGACCTGCCTGGGCTGCGATCTTGAGATTTCCAAGGGAGCACAGGCAGAAATATTCCTTCTCCTCCCCAGTGGCCTTGGCCTAGATTTTCAGCCAGAACAATGGGTCTAAGATGGGGCTGGAGGTTCTTTAGCCTGAGAGACGAAAGGGCCTCAGACTGGTGGCTTGGAGGCAATGGCTGGGTGTTTTCACGGACACACTCTGCTGCTGTCCTTGAGCAGACCACCCCGGCTCGTAGGCCTCACGGGCACCCAGCTGCACTGGCCACGTGGAGCTGCGTCCCCATGGCAGTTAGGAACCTGTGTCAAGCACGTACCATATCTGGTCCCGTTTTTGTGCATTTCCTGTTGTTGTCTGCCACCCCCCCACACCCCCCACCCTCCCTTCGTTTCTTAGGAATGTTTGGTTGAAAAATTCCAGTCTTGTTCCAGCTGCACTGAGGGGAAAGGGGCTTTGGCCAAATGTCAGCTGGAGGATTGCAGGAGCTGGGCCCCAGAGACCGGGTGTGGGGACGGCCATAGCCACTGCAGCCAGTGAGCAGTTCATGCCTGGGGCAGAGACAATGAGAGAGAGAGAGACACCGAGACCCAGGGGAGTGAGAGATAAGGAGAGAGGCACAGAGACAGAGAGACACGTATGCAAGAGAGATGGTCAGGAGAGGCCGAGATCAAAATGGAAAACGCTGAGGCAAATATAGGAGAGCTGGGGGCAGAGAGACAAAACAAGTTTGAGAGACAGAAAGAAGCAAAATCCTGAAACCTAGAGACTGAGGTAGTCGCGGACAGTCAGAGAGAAAAAGAGAGCGAGGCCAAGAGCAGAGGGAGAGGCAATGGGGATGGACAGTAGCTACCGCAGTGACAATACAGCCACAGTGGGCCAGATGCT